CCCCAAAACCCCAAAACCCCAAAACCCCATGAAATAAATGCTTGTGCTCAAAGTCATTTGACAGATAATTAAAAAAAACTAATTACATATAAAACATATTGATTTAGAGATTTAAATATGAAGCAAGAGTAATTAAATGACAAAAGCGAAAATAGAAAATCTGTAAAAATAAAACCTATATAAGTTATTGATGATAAGGTAAGTTTTCTTTCAAATGAATTAATCAGCGTTAATTAGTATGATCCCAAATCTCTCTATGTACTAAAGTCAAGTAATATCATTCGTATAGCCATTTTTAGACTAATAAGTTGGAAGTAAGTGAATTGATTATGCTGATACTTTTTAGATGGTTCGATAGATTTATTATACTGATTATCTTTTCAAACTCATTAATCATGGCCCTCAATGACTACTCTGATCCAAATAATCAAACCTATTAAAATAATGTTCTTGAGAAAATAGGATGGGGTTTTACTATTGTTTTTGTTGTTGAATGTGTTTTGAAAATTCTTGCCTTAGGATTTGTCATTCATAAGACTTCTTATTTGTGAGATCCATGGAATATTATAGACTTAACAGCAGTAGTTGTAGGAGGTCTTGAATTTGTTCCAGGCTTGCCAAATCTCAAAGTCATAAGAACCCTCAGAGTTGTGAGACCACTTAGAAGTATCAAAGCATTACCTAGCATGAGAAGATTAGTACTTTCCTTGCTGAATTCCCTACCTGCATTGGCCAATGTAGTTGTGTTCTTGTTATTCGTTTTCATACTTTTTGGTATTCTTGGCATATAGTTATTTTAAGGAGATTTTTACTCGGTATGCAGGTTAACTTAATTTCCAGATCCAGTGACAGGCTATTGGCCAATAAATTTTGATGCTAATAATCTATGCACTGCAGACTCAGATTGTCCTGCAGGAAGTTTCTGCGGAAGTTCAGAGGCTATCAATCATTCGCTTGATGTTGATACTGATATTAAAGAATATGCATTGATTAACTATGGGATTACAAACTTCGACAATATCTATACTGCAACAATGACCATCTTTTAAATAATCACATTGGAGGGATGGACCTAGCTAATGTATGATTTGAGTGATGCTGGCTAGCCAGTTGTTTCACCACTATATTTTTGTCTTCTTGTAGTAATAGGCTCATTTTTTTTGTTGAACTTAAATTTGGCAGTTATTATGAATGAATTTACTAAGGTAGATGAGAAATTCAAAGCTGAAATACTATAACTTAAAAGTAAAAATATAATGATGGCATCAGAAAGTTTTTAAGAGGATAATAGCTAAGGTAATGAAAATAATTAAGATAGAAATAGATCCAAAGATAACTCAAATCAGTCAGAATTGAAAAATTCTTCTTCAGATTCTAGCATATCTGCTCCATAAAAGAAGTCTTTTCGGAGATCTAAATCTTCTGGTTAAAATCAATCTAACTCTCTGATCATGAAGAAAGTTCCAATTAGAGATAGAGTTACACTTAATGTTGTTGTTGATCGTGATTTTGAGTAAAGAGGATCACAAAGAATTGATGAATAAAGTGAGGATAGCAATAGGCTGAATAATAAGAAAACTATGCCAGTGAAACTTAGCCCAGTTAGTCCAAAACTCCTTGGCTAAGGACTTAAAGAACTGTCTAAAGTGAGAGACTTTATGAGATCGCAAACGCTGAAAAGACATTCAGCAGCTAAGCCTATTACAGCCAGATTATCAATAATGAAGGATCAAACTATACTTGGTTATAGTGAACCCCCAGGTAGTGCTGGATTAAAACCTCGAAGAAATACAACTAAGTAGATTTCAAGACTTAATTAATCAGATATTAGAATAGCTTCCTCCAGAAACGTAGGAAGGCACCTAAATCCTAATGATAGATAATACGATTTAATGCTAGAGAATACATAAAGAGATGATCAAAGAAATAAATCTGATTCAGAATAAGCGAATTAAAATAGTAGTGAGTTAGAACTTCCAAAGATAGATGAAGCTTAAAGTTCATTCGATGATAATAAGATTTTAAACATTAAAAGTATCGAAAATATTGAACAAAACAACTCGAATATCTTACTTGAAAAAAGTTTGCAAGATTTGGAAATGAATATATAAGACAATGAAGCAAAGAATATGGACAAGCTTATCGAAAGATCAAATAGAAATATTATATTCAAAATATTCTATCTTGTTTGCACACATTGGCTATTCTCCATTTGCATTCTATCGTTAATACTTGTAAATACCATAGTACTTGCTCTTGATAGATATCCTATTTAATAAAAAGAATTTTCTACACTAGAAACTGTTAATGATATCCTGAGTTTGTGCTTTCTTGGAGAAATGATTATAAAACTAATTGGCCTAGGACCACTTGGATATACTTAAGATAAATTCAATATATTTGACTGTTTGATTGTAGTAATAAGTATCAGCGAACTCATACTACAAGAAGCAGAGTTAGGGAAAGGTATCACCAGTAGTGGAGCAATTTCAGCATTTAGAGCGATCAGGTTATTAAGAATATTTAAGTTAGCAAGATCTTGGAAGAGTTTTTAGGATATACTGATAAAAATTGGTAGAACATTTAAAGATATCTCCAACTTCATAGTTTTGCTCTTCTTGTTTATTTTTACTTATGCAATGCTAGGCATGGAGTTATTTGCCTATAAAGTAAGGTTTGATGAGGAAGGTAACCCTTTGAATCTTGAATCTTATGGTGGAATGTCTACTACAGTTGGTAAAAGTCCAAGAGAAAATTTCGATAATTTCCTCAATGCCTTTGTAACAATTTTTATTGTGCTTATTGGAGATGTAAAAGACTTATATATTAATATTGTTTTAGGGTTGGAATACAATCATGTATAATTTTGCCAGATCAGTTGGAACATCGACTGTACTTTTCTTTATAATACTAGTGATCCTTGGGAAGATGATTTTGATGAATCTTTTTCTTGCTATATTATTGAAGAATTTTGGTGATTAAGAAAATGCCCAAGAAAATATAGATGAAAGTAAGAATTTTATAGCACTTATTCTAAATATTTTAGAGCTTCTATAAAAATTTAAAAGATACATAGGAATAATTCAGTCCAAATTTTTAGCTTGCAAAACATTACAAAGAAAAACAACTTCAGAATTTGATCTTACCTCAAAGGGTTTGTATTCATAAGAAGGAGAAATAAATCATGGAATTACAAGTCTCTTTTAATCATAGACCATTTAGAGATCTCACTCAGATTTTCTAAATCCTACTGTAAATGATGACAATAGATTGGATATAGTGGAAGAATCTTCGCCAAACTAATCTCTGCAATCTTAAATAGATGAATAATTTAATACAAAGAATCAAAATTAAAAAGATTAGCCAGATTAGATAAATCAAAATGAAAATGAAATTGACAATGATAACCAATAAGATTCAAGAAGAAATCTTGTTTAAGGTAAAAAAGATTCTGAAATGATGTAACAAGGGCCAAGTTAGAATGGAACTATGGATTTAAATCAAGTATATTAAGAAAAAATAAAATAGCTAAATCAGTCTAGAAAAAGGAAAAGCCGATATATTTCAGAGATTGGTCACTCTAATAAATTATATAGAATATAGACTAAATAATATTCCTCTTGGTTTCTTCCTTATACTTTAGAGGGAAAAAGTCTTTTCCTACTTAATAGAAGGAGTAGGTTCAGAGATTTTTGTGCTAAACTTATAAGTCACAAAATTTTTGATCCATTTATTCTCTTTATCATAACTGCTTCAACTGTTACACTAGCTTTAGATAATCCTTTAAATGACCCAAAGGGTACAATGACAGCAGCACTTTAGATCATAGATTAGTTTTTTACTGCTATATTTGTTTTAGAAGCTGTTTGTAAAATTTTAGCTTTTGGACTTTTGCTCAACGGAAAAAATTCATATCTTAGAAATCCTTGGAACTCACTAGATTTTATTATTCTTGGCTTTTCAGTAAGATTTAAATTTTTACCATGATTTCTTTTAGCTGGTTTCTGTTGTTCCTAATGATAAAATTGATTTCAAATTCATGAAAGCTATAAGAATGCTTAGAGTTGTGAGACCATTGAGAGTTATATCAAGAAATTAAGGGCTTAGAATTGCTGTACTTTCTTTACTCAATTCAATTCTAGGCATCTTTCATGTTTTTACAATAAGCATCTTATTTTTCTTACTATTCGGTATATTTGGGATCAATTATTTCAAAGGAACTTTTTTCAAATGTCATTAAGAACATATTCCAAATACAATTTTCATTATTACTACAAAATGGGACTGCATAAACCTAGGAGGAGAATGGATTAATCAAGATTAAAATTTTGATAATATCCTAAATGGAATTAAGACACTTTTTGAAATGTCAAGCACTGAAGGATGGACAGATGTAATGTGGGCAGGAGTTGATGCATCTGAAATTGATTCTGTTCCGATAGAATCCAATAGACCACTTTGGGTTATATTCTTTATGGCTTTCCTACTTTTTGGCTCTCTCTTTATCATGAATTTATTCGTTGGAGTTGTTATCAATACTTTCAATGATGAGAGAGAAAAATTAGGGAAAAATCATCTCTTAACAACATTTTAGAGAGAATGGATTATGATATAAATTAGTCTTCTTAAACTAAAACCACAAAGCAAACAAGAAAGGTTTTATAAGAGTAAAATTAGAAATTTTATCAGTATTATAAGTTACTCTTAAAGATTTGAATTCTTCATTTTGACTTGTATAATCTTGAATACAATCTGCTTTGCTATAGAATGGTATAATCAGCCCTAAGATGTCAATAATGTCCTTGAAATAATAAATTATGTTTTTGCTGCTATTTTCACATTTGAGACTGTCATTAAGTTGATTGCTTTAGGCTATAAGGACTACTTCAATAATGGCTGGAATATATTTGATATGATGGTGGTTATTGGCACAATTACTAGTGTATTTTTAACTGTTTTTACTAGTACAACTTTCGGTGCATCAACCACACTTATAAGAACATTCAGAATTGGAAGAGTATTAAGAATAATCTCAAAAGCTAGCTTTTTGAAAAAAATATTCAATACATTCTTGGTTACTATTCCTTCTCTTGCTAATATAGGTGGATTGTTAGCTTTGCTGCTTTATATATTTTCCATTCTTGGGATTTTCTTGTTTGCTGATGTAAAGCTTTAAACAAACTTAGATTAGCATGCAAATTTTCAGAATTTCTATACTGCTTTTCTAACTTTGGTAAGGTGTGCTACAGGAGAAAGCTGGAACTACATTATGAATGATTGTGCAAGAACATCTACTATTTTATTCGATTGTAAAAATGATCCTTCATATTCTGATTATGTTAATAATGGTGAAGTTACTCTTGGATGTGGAGATCCCACATAAGCATATGCTTTCTTTATGTCATTTACAATGCTAGTATCAATGATTTTCCTAAATCTTTTTATCGCTATTATTCTTGAGAGTTTCGAAAATGTCAACTAACAAGAGGATCTAAAAATAAAAGATAAAGACCTAGATAGCTTCTAAAAGGTTTGGCTCCCATACGATCCTAAAGGTACTGGCTTCATTGATATTCAAAAGTTTGAAGATTTATTGCTTGAATTAGTAGAGTAGAAATCTGAATTTATAAGAGAAGGGGAATTATTAAAGCTTGACTCTCTTGCGAGAAGACATTTTATAGAGGAATTAGAACTACCAACGTACTCTAGAATGTCTGTTTATCACTATGCAGATATATTACATTCTTTATCTAAGGCTGCTCTTTAAATAGATCTTATTTAAGGTAATTACTACACCACTGAAAATGATGACGCCAAATCATAAACTTCTAAAAACACCTCCTAAAAAAAAGAATTTAACTAGCTCTCAATGAATCTAATAATAGATCAAGAGATAATAAATATAAATACTATGAATGAAACTTAAAAGATTTAATTGGTTGAAGAGTACACAAGACTAAGAATTAAAACAGATGATACCAAGAGAAAATACCTAGATTAGTTTGAGGGAAATATTTATAATAGCAGATTTGTGTTTCTGTTGCAGTAAATGAAGGCAAGAATAAGGTTTTGGATTATCAGAAGAAGGAAATAAAAAGAAATTGAGCAAAAACTAAAGTTAAATTTAGCCGAAAGAATGACTAAAAATTTGATGCTTGTTACAATAGATCCAAAGACTAATTAGTAAAGTACAGACAATATCATCAACTCACTTCAATTAGACATGAGTCAGAGAATTGAAGATAGTGTTGAAAATAACTAATTAAAGTTGATAAGCAGCTCTCGAGAATTATCTGAGGAAGATTCTGAGTCAATTGAAATATTAAATGGTACTGGCAATGAAGAAAGTCTCAAGGATGCAAAGACTTAACTAAAAATAAGCAGATAAAAGAGATAGCAAGAACTCATATTTGCTAAGTAAAGAAATAGTAATGTCATGAGTACATTTGATACAGATCTGAATTCCCTAATAAAATAGCTTTCAGGAAATCAGGATACACTTAACAGTGGCAATTTAAGCTTAAGAGATTCAGAGCATTCTGATGAAAAATAGGAGATTATATTCAATAGAAAATCCGATGTTTCAAGGCAAGTTTTAGCTGATAAGGGATGGTTCAAATAACTTCCAAACACCCTTAATACAATTATTTCTGAGATGAGATAAGAGGAATCGCTCTCTACTTCTAGGATTTTGCAAAAATCTAGCGATGATGTTTCAGGAAATAATTAAGGAGGATCACCTATTGAATCATAAAATGCACATACTGGATAATAAATATAAAACTTTTTTACAAATCAGAAATTAGTAGAAAGCAAGCAGCAGAGTTCTGACAATTTGGTATCTTTAATTTCAAATGCAAGATCTGATGATGATTTGATATAGAATTCATAAACTAATCCTCTTATTAACTGTATGACGGAAGAGAATCATGATGGTAATCCATTATAAAACAATTTGAAATAATAGCAACTTACAGTTTCGTTTGGATTAAGTGATAATCAAGCTGAAGATTTCTCAGATGTTAGAATCTTTAATTTCTAGGAAAATCTAAAATCTTCAGAAAAATCAAATGAAAAGCCTATCTTTGATGAGGATTCCTAGACATAATTAAACTAAAATAAGGACTCACCGAAGTTTATCTCATCCAAGATACAAAACTTTAAGCTCGATAGCTAGAGAATTAAAAATAGCAAAACATTAGGAGGTAAAATAGCAACAGTTAATTTAAGGAAGAAATTATCCAAACTTATAAAGACTAAAGATGAAATTTAGAGACAAGAAACCTTTAAAAATAAGATATCTGAGCTTATAAAGAAGCCCTCAATAAAAATATAAGCAGAATAAAATTTGAAATTGAAGTAAAGATCATAATTTGAACATTATTAAGCTAAATAAGAAGAGAATACGATTGTAATTGCATCTATATATACAGATTAGTCTGATTCTAGTCGCCAAAAGTTTGATTCTTCAATGTCAGTAGCTTCATCCTTGCTATGATGTGACTAAAATATCTTAGGAATAAAAAATTCTTCTAAATTAAATTTAAATTAACTTTACCATGAATTTTCAACACTACTAATTAAAGCAATAATTACATCATGGGGTTTTGGGGTTTTGGGGAGATCGGAA